ACAGTTTGTTATGATCCACACAGTCAAATGCCTTTGCATAGTCAATGAAACACAGATAGACATACCTCTGGTACTCCCTGCTTTCAGCTAAGATCTATCTAACATTAGCTACAATATCCCTAGTACCACGACCCCTTCTAAACCCAGCCTGGACTTCTGGTAGTTCTCTGCTGATGTGTTCTTCCAGTTGTTTTTGGATAATCTTCAGTAGAATTTTGCTTGCATGTAAAATCAATGAGATTGTTCTATAGTTTCCACACTCTGTTGGGTCACCCTTCTTTGGAATGGGAGCAAATATAGATCTCTTCCAGTCAGTTGGCCAGGTGGTTGTTCTCCACAAGTTGGTGAGCACATCTAGGGCAGCATCTGTTAGCTGAAACATGTCAATTGGTATACCATCTATTCCTGAGGCCTTATTTTTGCTATTTCCTTCAAAGCACCTTGAACTTCTTCCTTCATAACCCTGAGGCAAACAGAACTGATACAGAGATTTGTACATTAATATTCATAACAGTGCTATTCACAATAGCAAGGGCATGGGAACAGCCCAAATGTCCCACAACAAATGAATAGATTAAGAAAGATTTGGAAAAATTATTAACCTGGGAGAGAGCATTATGCTGAGTAAATTAACTTGGTCTTATTAGGATGAATACTGCATGAGACTATTATTTAAAAAATAGAAGAAAAACTAGTAAGATGTGTATAAATGTCCAAAGAGGGAAGGGGAAGAAGTGGGGGTGGGGGTGTGTCCCAGGGTTTGGTGGGCAGAAGGAGGAGCTAAAGGAATTAGGAAAGATCCAGTGGGATCTGAAAAAGACAGGGGCATAGAGCAGTAGTTATTACTTTTATAAGATACAGTTTATGGGAATGATGATAGGAAATAGTGTGAATGTAGGAACGTGCAAAATGTATATGAATGAAGAAAAGTCTTTAAAAAAACCCTACATGGTGCAACCATTCTGGAAGGCAGTTTGGTAATTCCTCAAAAAGCTGAACACAGAAATTCCATATGACCCAGCTATTCTACTACTTGGAATATACCCTGAGAATACGAGAACTGAGGCACAAACTGAGATTTGTACACCAGTGTTCATAGCAGCATTATTCACCATTGCAAGAACATGGGAACAGCCCAAATGTCCAACAACAGATGAATGGATTTAGAAATTATGGTACATTTACACAATGGAATACTATGCAGCATTCAGGAGCAATAGCTTTGTAAATTATTAATTAGCTTGGGAGGGACTGGCGAGCAGTATGCTGAGTGAACTAACTCAGTCTCACAAGGATAAATATTGTATAAGACCATTACTGTAGGAGTATAAGGATCCAGGATGGGTGGGAGAGGCTGGAAGCAGAGGGATGTGGATGTACAGGGGGAAGAGGCGATTAATAATTGGATTGTACAATTTGGTGGGGGGGTCGATAAGGGAAATTGAAAGAATTTGTTCAAATTTGTATTAGAATTTTGTAAATACAATAGTGAAAAAAAGTCAGCTTGGGGAGGGAGGGAGAAAGAAAGGTAAAATGTGCAACAACGAATGAATGAAAATCTAATTTTTCTGTAAACTTGTTAAAATGACAATTAAAATAAAAAATTTTATTAAAAAACAACAACAAAAACCCTACAACACTATGCTTGAAAAAATATAGTAAAATTTACATGTATATTAGGTAGATGTCGCTATTGTTGTTGTGTACTGTTCAGTTGGAACTGACCCATACATGAACCTCCAATGGGTTTTCAGAGGCAGTAAAACACTTGGGAGATTGATTGCCCATCCTTCTTACACAGCGCAGCTAGTGGACTTGAACTGTATGCCTTGGGGATTTCAGCACAGCTTCTTACCGTAACAAGGCCACCAGGGCTTCCTGTCCATGGGTTGGAAAAAATCAATATTGTGGAAATATTGATTTCCTTAAATTAATTATAACACTATCACAATCAAAATTCAAGCAGGATTTTTCAGTGGAAATATCTAAACAATATTTATGAAATGCAAAGAATCCTTCCCGAAAGATCTTAAACCAATATTGCAGGGGAGCTCTTGTGGCCTAACGACAAGAAGCTGCACTGCAATCCCAGAGGTAAGTGGTTCAAATCCACCAGCAGCTCTGCTGAAGGAAGGGCAATCTCCTCCTGTACCAGTTAGATCCAATCAAGCAAATAAAATAATAAAATAAAAATTAAAGAAAAACACCCAATATTGCAGAAGCTGAAGGACTTAAATCATACACAGCAATCCTTGTTATAAAGTTCTGAAGCCATAGTGATGCAAGTTGTTGTTGTTGTTATATGCCGTCGAGTCGCTTGCGACTCATAGCGACCCTATGTACAACAGGCCTAAACTCTGCTCTGTCCTGTGCCAATCGCACTGTTTCTGACACTCCCATCCCAATTATCCCAGTCACTGAATCAATCCACCTCATAGAAGGCCTTCCTCTCCTGCGCTGTACCTCCACGCTCCCAAGCATGATGTCCCTCTCTAAGGACCGGTCTCTCCTCACAACATGTCCAAAGTATGTTAGACGGAGCCTCAGAATCCTTGCCTCCAAGGAGCCACCCGGTTTAACCCTTTCCAGGACAAATCTGTTTTCCTAGCAGTCCATGGTATTCTCAATACTCTTCTCCAGCACCACAGCTCAAAGGCATCAATTCTCCTTCTATCCTCCTCGGTCATTGTCCAACTCTCTGATGCATAACAAGTGATTGCGAAGACCATGGCCTGTATCAGATGCACCTTAGTCTCCAGAGAGACACCATTGCTCTTCAGTACTTTGGAGAGGTCCCTAACAGCAGACTTTCCCATGGCAATGTGCCTTTTAATTTCCTGGCTACTGGTGCCAAGAGTGTTGACTGTGGAGCCAAGCAAACTAAAGCTGTGTACAATCTCAATCTCTTCACCATCCATCCTGATGCTGCCAATTGGTCCAGTGGTGAGAATATTTGTCTTCTTGACATTGAGCCTCAATCCATATTGTAGCCTGCAGTCCTTGACACTCTGCAACAGGCGCTTCAGGTCCTCTTCAGTTTCAGCAAGCAGGGTTGTGTCATCCGCATAACGTATGTTGTTGATAAATCGTCCACCAATTTTGACCCCACATTTCTCCTCACAGAGCCCAGCCTCCCGGATAATCTGTTCTGCATATAGCTTGAAAAGGTATGGAGATAGGATGCATCCCTGACATACGCCCTTCCCAATTTTGAACGATGCAGTGTTCCCTTGCTCTGTTCTGACAACTGCCTCCTGGTCCAAGTATAAATTTCGCATTAGAACGATCAAGTGTTCTGGGATTCCCATTCTTCGCAGAGTCAGCCATAGATTGTTATGATCTACACAGTCAAATGCCTTTGCCTAGTCAATCAAACACAGATAGACATTCCTCTGGTATTCCCTGCTTTCAGCCAAGATCCATCTAACATCAGCTACAATCTCCCTAGTACCACGACCCCTTCTAAACCTAGTCTGGACTTCTGGTAGTTCTCTGTTGATGTGCTGTTCCAGTTGTTTTTGGTCCAGTGGTGAGAATCTTTGTCTTCTTGACATTGAGCCTCAATCTATATTGTAGGCTGCAGTCCTTGACCCTCTTCAGGTCCTCTTCAGTTTCAGCAAGCAGGGTTGTGTCATCTGCTATGCGATTTACTGCCTCTGAAATCCTGCTGGAGGGTCATCTATGGGTGGGTTCTGACTTGAAGGTATACAACAACAATAGTAGAATTACTGTTCATTAACGCTAGAATGGACCAATTTTTTATATCCAGGCAACTTTGCCCTTTTCAAGTATTTCTTTCATACTACTTTGCTTTGACAAAATATCTATATTATTCCTGTGTGAGCTAACTGACAGAAAGAACTATAATGAGGGTTTTTGCTTTTAGAGGAAAAAGACAGAAACGTAAAACTAGCACTTAGTATATTTTGCAGTGTGCCATTAAGAGCCAGTGTGCAAAATAAAGCAGTGAGGGTGGTGAGCCACCAGCGCTCCCAAGACTAAGGTGCACACCATTCAAACCATCCTCTTTTCAATTACTTGCTGTGCATCTTCAAGACAGACAATGGGTAAGGATGACAGAAGATGACACTGAATTGAGGTAATGGAGTGCTGAATACTACTCCATGGGCTGCAAAAGAACAAGTATGTCCTGGGGAAAGATGGTGATACTTCATCTCACAAAACTCGAGTGTAGAACTTAGAGAATACACCTATCTGTATAGTTTGGTACAGCAAGGACAGAGTGATTGGGTAGAATTTTGTCAGATAAGGATTTTAAAAAAAGATAATATAAGCATGGACACGGACACAGAAACTGGGGAAAGGTTTGTGGCCAGATGCAGATAAACTATTACTGCTAAAATCCATGGACAGGAAGGCGAACAAGGCAGAGAAGGTCAGTGAGGCCAAGATCTGGATGGTCGCGCATCCCACACTAATCAATCTTCAGTTGCACTTGAAAGACACCGAGAATCTCACTTCCTTTTCTCATATTTACTTATTTTGCTTTCTTTCCTTTATTTTGAATGAAATATATCACACATGCAGAATCCACTCAGTAGGACAAGTTTCAAGTTCAGGGGTACAGATGTCTTTATTTTTTCACAAAGAAACAAGGGTTGAATTCCTCCTGTTTCTCAGACTGCTACAGTTAATAATTTTGTTTCACTTTGCAGTTTTAAAAGTCCAACTTTCAAAAGGAGACCCAAAGTGTACCATAGCAAAAATCTTTGTAAAATTACATTTTCTGTCATTTCTCTACAACTCCATCAGATCAAATAATGGAGGAAAAATATGTCCTCGTTTTCCAGGGTAAATCCTAAAAATACACTAATGCATTACTTCATAAGACATGTCTAAAGTAGGTTAATAAATTAATGCAGATGACAAAAAGCAACAGGTTTGCAAGGTAAAAACAATTAACATTGTATAGCAAATTATCTCTGCACAGATAAACTGAATTAACCCTTATCGCCCAGCCCCCAGGACTACCTGCTTACCACGGAATGAACAGATCGTTGCTTGGCTGATGGTCTCTTTTTCAGTACCTCGCATTTCCTCTTCTTACAGATCTGATGGCTGTTTTTTCTATTCCGACAGTAAGTACATTCACCACAGTTAATTTTCTGCTGACAGGGCTCACATACTCCACATCGCTTTCGTTTTTTCTTTTCCAAAGTAGGTAGCAAAGTTGTGTGGGTCGAAGAGGTATTGGCAACTGACAGTGACGCAGATGCCAGCGTGGGGTTGTGAACTGTGCTGACTCCGTGGACCTGGGAACTCTCTTCTGCTGTACGGCTGGGCCCAAGCTGGGAGGACTGGGCAACGCTCATTGAAGGCTGGTATTGTCCTATCTGGGGGACTGATGTTAACTTCGGAGTGTAAACTGTTTGAAAGCTGCTGTGAATCTGCTCCTCACCTCCCTTATTGCCTATTGCTATTGCTGAAGGTGCTGGACTTTTCTCTGAGTATGATGACTGAGGAGCATGACTAGAGTGGTCCAAAGGCAGAATCTGCAAAGCACGGTGGGCCTCAATCCCATATGTCACAGTGGTCTGGGGCTGAAGCCACTCTTGGGGAATTTGGTATGTGGCAGCGGGGTCTGGAGGAGCAAGGAAGACAGGCAGGTTTGGGAAAGCAGCACCACCACTCACAGGAAGGCTTTGTTGTTGGTCTAGCATGGCACCCAACACTTCTCCTTGGACTATAGAAGCACCAGGAACCTCTGGTGAGTTTAAGGTCTCCTGGAGCACCTCCCCATGGTCTGGATTAGCACTAGGGACATCCCACTGAGGTGGGGCAGCATTAAAGGCATCTCTTAGGACAGGACTGGCATCAGGAATATTTTCTTGGTCTTCCATAGTACCAGAAACTTCTTGTTGATCTAAGGGAGCTTTGAGGGCCTCCTGAAGATCTGAGTTAGCATCAAGGGTTTCTTGTTCAGAGCCTGCCAAGAGGAATTTTATTAAAGAGGTAGGATACACAGACCCACCAAAAGGCAAACCGTTTCTAAGGTCCAAGTCTGGCATAACCCTGTTAAAGCTGTCGGTAGGACAACAATCGTGTTCACTTCTGATGGGATCCGAGTAAGGAGGAGCTAGCTCAAGAGACTCTTCTTGTGTACCCAAATCTGCTAACTGAGCATTGGGCTTTTCTAGAGAGGTATCTTTGGAGATTGTGCTTTGAGGCAAAGGAGAACACTCAGAGTTCTGAGCAAATATTCTAGCATAATCTTTGACATCATCTAACGTTGCTCCAGAAACAAGCCCTCTGCCACGTGTCGCTGCCAATGGCCTGGACTGGATGTCTGCCGCAGGGTCACTGTGAGTAGAGGTAGTTACTTTGGCATCTTCAACCCTTTCAGACCGAAGCTGGGCTGCATTTTGGCTCTCATCTTGACCAAAAGAGGCATCTTGCACATCCATCAGATGTTCTGTGTCAGGCGGGGCTGGGGGTTCTTGTGTCAGGTTTGGTTGGCTTTTTGGGTGTCTTCCACCCACATCAGCAAATGCATGGTGCTCACCTTCACGTTTCTCTAAATTCTTACAGGGTGGTGCTTTCTTAGGTTTGGCTATGACCTCCGGGGGCTGGGAGAGTCGTCTGCTAAGAGACGTGCTCCGGAGGGCCATGGTAAACCCGATGGAAGTCAAGGACTCTGGGTTCTGAAGAGCCTCACTCCTTTCTAAATTCATTCTCGCTGCCCCAGCTCTTGTCAGAAGGCTTGTGGCTGGCATGGGGGGCTGGGCTTCTGTTCTTTTCTTAACATCTCTTTCCTGAACAAGGAGCTTTGATTTTCCAGGGTTCCCATTTTTAACTGAGGCCACGTGTTTGTTGGTTGGCTTGGAGGTCCTCTTCAAGGGATCGAGTTTCTTTTTGCTTAGCTCTTCCTTCCTGCCTAATCTGGAAGGCCTTGTGTAGCGAGGTCGAGACATGGCCGCAGAGGAGGGAAAACTGAAAGGCCACGGTACACAGAGTCATTGGTCCTTTGAAAAGGCTTGCTGCTGAGGAGAATCTGCCAGTTCCACAGTCAAGCTCAGGTGCAAGAAGATTTGGGCCTGAAATAGCAACAACAAAAGAACACACATCAAAAGTGAGATTTCACCCCCCATTCTGTTCTCTCACTAGAAAGAAAATATTTCCTGGAAATTACTTATTAAAATTAGGGACCTTAGAATGTTGCATGCAAAAGATAACAGTCGACACAAGAATATCCTTTAAAAACTTAGATTCCCTTTAAGTCTTGATTACTATGCTACATGAGTTATTTGATTAACTTCTTTGAATTAAGATAGGCACGTGGGTTTCTCTACATTAGAAATTACATCATGAGAGCTTTGGTGGCCTAGTGGCAAGAAGCTGTGCTGCAATCCTAAAGGCACGTGGTTCGAATCCACCAGATGCTCCGCTGGAGAAGGAGGGGCAATCTCCTCTTGTGCCAGTCAGATCCAATTCAATGGCATGCAGCAAGAAAAGGGGGAGAGGAAGACCACAAAAAAAAAAAAGAAAAGAAAGGAATTGCATCATGATATAGTTCTATGTTGCTTTAAACTTAAATCTTAATCTTTACAAATTTGGACACTTTAAGAATTATCCCTTATCTCCTTAAATATCTCCCAGACAGACAGGGTCCCACCAGCATAATTGTAAAGCTGAAAAAGTCAGAGGAAGAAGTACTTGATCAAGAAATTCTACTCTCTGGAGAGTCATTAAAACATTTCCATTAAAAAGCCACAAATCTTGGGCCCATGTACAAAAAAATTAGCCTAAAATTTTGCGATTAGTTCACAAATAAAGATTCCTTGGTCCAACAAACCTGTTCATTATCTATTATGCATAAGTGCCTCCTTCACAGTGACTTCACTGGGCAGCCACTAACTACCTACATTTAGAAATGAAGTCTTCCTTTGCTCTTTCATCTGATTTGATCCAAAGACTGCTGATATCAAAATCCCTTCTACAAGGGGCCCCAAAGATTTCATGGCCTAGGCAAGGAAATTGGAAATAAGGAGAAAACAAGGTAATTAAAATAATAAAGGGACACTGGATAAGCCACTACTAACTCTATGAACTTTGATAAATGACAATAGTTATAGAAAGGCTTCGGGCCTTTTGTTCACAGTGTTGCTATGAGTCCTGCTCAACTTCACGGCAATCAACAATAATTTGGAAGCAACAAGAGGAAAAATGTAGAGAAAAGTGCAACAATGAATGAATGAAAATCCAAAATCTCTGTGAATGTTTATTAAAATTAAAAAAATAAATAAATAAATAAAGAGGAAAAATGTAAAGGGGTTGACCAAGACCTATCATCACCAAATCTCCTTAGATTGTCTACCCTGCCCAGATTAAGAGCAAGCTGTGAGCAATGTCGATGAAAATTTACTATAAAGACAATAAAAAAGACTATAAAGTGTTGTAACTTATCAGCCATCATACTCTCACTGCCATCAAGTCAGAAGGGACTCATAGCTGACCCTCCATTGGGTTGCCAAGGCTGTAAATCACACATAAGGAGATTGATTGTCCACCTTTCTCCCTCAAGTGCTGTGGGGATTGGAACTTCAGGTGTGACCTTTGGATTAACAGTGAGCTACCTAATTTATCAATAGGGGTTATGGATCCATAGGATTTTTTAAAGGCTGCTATTCCAGAAGGGGCCAGCCAGCCCAAATTGAGTTTATGTCTTACTCTAGAAGCCTATGCTGAAACCTGTCCACCATGGGTGACCCTACTGGCATCTGAAATACAAAGATTCCGGGATCAAGAGCATGGCAGGAGGCTTTCTGAGCAATATTGAACAAAGATCACTCATTTTCTCACTGCTGAGTCAGTGACAGCAGTGGTGTCAGATATTTTTGTTGTTATTTTGTTTTGTGGCAAAAATTAGGACAATGAAAGGAGTTTTCCCTAAAGTTTTATTTATTCATTTTAACAATACCTTTCTAATTGAAAATTATGTCTTCCTGTTCAAGTCAAACTTGTTGCTTCACTGTTCCAAGGGTCTTAGAAGCCACTGGCTAGTTTAGTGGTTAGAGACGATCTAGCATTATGAAGAGTTTGATTGTGAGATCACCAGCTTTGTATCCTCAAGCAAAATACTTTTATCTGCACTGAGTCAGTGATTCTGTATCTGAAGGGAGGCTGATGTGGAATTTCAACGGACTCCTTCCTACAAGGAAAAGTCTAGTACCCTATGAGTTCAAATAGGTGTAGAAAGAACTTCGGAAATTGGCAGATCTAGACGAACTTTACAGATCAGAAACATGACAAGCTGTATTATTCTTTGAAATTCTTTGATCCCTCTACATATGATTTTCCTTACATATGTAAGTGAATAATAAAATAACTAACTCCTTGCCATGGAGTCAGAACTGACTCATCGCTTACCCTCCAGCACGTTTCCAAGGATGTAAATCATACGGGAGGAGATTGCCCATTGCCAGAGAGGCCCAAGCAACTTCATACCTCCTACAGAGCTCTGGTGGTCTGGTGATAAAATAAGCTGGGCTTCAATCCCAAAGGCACACGGTTTGACTCCACCAGATGCTCTGCACAAGAAAGATGGTCAATCTCCTCCATGCAATTTACCGCCTTTGAAAACTCACTGAAGGATCAACAATGCATGAGCCTGTTTCACAGCACATACCAGCACCACCATGCAGCGAGCACACAGAATAGAAATCAGTCTCAGAACTCAAACTGACCTCCAGTCAGAACCCATTCATATCTGCCCTTCCAGTGGAGTTCTAAGGCTGTAAGTCTCACAGGAGGTAGATTTAAGAGCCTGATAGCAGCACAACTCACAAAGCCACCAGAGCTCCTGAAAACAATGTTAGTGGCCTAATAAATGAGCTATAAAACCCACTTATAATTCCAGAATATAATAATAATATAAATGCTAGTTATCACTATGAGAAGCCGTTGAACCCACAAGTGTGCCATATCCCATGGGCAAGACACAGAGTTTTTTAGTTTCTATGAATAAGAGAACAAGAGAACAAAGAATGATATTTACAATCAAAGCATTGTTTTTAGTGTTCTTTAAAAAGACTTTTAAAATACACATTAGTGATAACACTAACCACAAGAAAATAACATTTTAAGAAATCTGTACTAAATAAAAACACTAGGCCACAGCATACTTTACTGGAATTCTTAGCATCAAGGCTTTCTGGGTTTTCTTTCTTTAAAAACAACAACAGCAACAAAATTTTGGCTTGCACTAATTGTTTAGCTGTAAACTATTAAATATTTTCTTCAAACAAAAATAAATGCTTTTTTATACCAGCATTTCCAATATCAAAGGACATGCAATTCCAATCCCTCAGAAAGTCAACATCAACTTTCTAGTGATGCCTTTACAGATAACAAAAACCAAGTAGTCAAGTCTCTAGAAATTCAACAGTGTTGGCATAAGCTCTCCTTGTAACAAAACAGTATTGCTAAAAAAATGATAGGTGCATATAACCTAAGCAAACACAAACAAGTAAAATTCATATCTATAGACAAGTAATCTGCATACACCAGAGGTGTTACAGATCTACTTTTTAAGTAGTTTATAAATTGATCTCTGTCTCTCAAGTATTATTTTATACTGAACAGAGAATTAAAGTGCTATAGAAACTCACAATTATATAAGGCTCTTGGGGCCCAAATCCATCTTTTGAGAAGCTCATATCCTGGGTTCTTGCTGATATGTCAACTCAAAAGGGCTTAGATTACAGGGTAATGAGGAACCTCAATTGCCTTTTGGGAAGCGTTGAAAGTTTCAATTGGAACCTTTGAATGTGTGTATCTTTCATTTTGAGTTAAAAGATTACCAAATGATGATTTTTACAATCTATACATAACCTTGTAATTGATTACAAGTACTTGGGTAGTAGCAAAATTTTAAAAACAAAGATGTTTTCTTAAAAGAAATTCACACTTGTAATTAAAATCATATTTACCATTTAAATCCTAGCTCCTAGAAAACAGCCTTACTAAGGGAATGTGAAAGGTATGAGCAACGTGGATTGGAAAAATGTGGCCTTTTTAAATGGTAACAACCTTTTTATGAGAGAGTGAAAGAAGCTAATGACCCCTGAAAAACTCAACTGCAGGGAAGAAACCTTTAGGTATCACACAGCCAAAGAAGCAGGGACAATCAGAAATAAAATAAAGATGCCTACCAAACCCTAATTTTATCATCTTTGGCTCTACTGATGAAATGGAACCTTTTTTACTGATCAACTAAATTGTCCTGACACAGCAGCAAAATTTTCTTGAAATTTGGGGAGAAAAAGGGGACAATGAATTTAAAAGGCCCATATTTAATTAAAGGAATTACCCCAAAAAAGTCTTCCTGAAATTAATTTTCCTTTTAAATGGTAAATTTTATTACAGATCTGATTTCCAATTTTTAGTGCCCTGATTATAATGTGTGAGAGTCATGCACAGGGATATACTCAGATCTCACCATTCAGAAGAACTAACGTATTTCAGGACAATTAAATCTCCCTTTTGTATATTGCCCAATTCCATTTCCAAGGAAAATGGGTATTTGTCCATTTCTCAAAATTCACTTAATTCTACACTAGAGTATTTTTCAGAGTCTGACTGCTATCAGAAAATATAAGTATTCTTGTTATTATATATACATAGTGAGGAGTCGTACAATTAATTCACAAGATCTCTTGAGTTCTTTAAACAAACAGACAAATACCTGTGACATGCAAAACATGACTTATTTAACTGATCTTCTCACTAGAGGAACAAATATCTCTAACACACAACTGAATTTTCCTAAAATGTCCTTGTGTCATAGAAAATTGACTTATGGAAGATCTAAATCTTCTAGGTCAGGACATAGGTCAACACATCATTAGAAATGTGAAGACAGTAATAATAATAAAATTACATGCTGCTAATTCAAATTAAGAATAAGAGTTGC